GGTTTCAATACTTTTTCAAACATGAATAAATATGTTTAGGGTTTTAATATAGAATATGATTTAATGGTTTCAATACTTTTTCAAACATGAATAAATATGTTTAGGGTTTTAATATAGAATATTACATATAAATCTTTCGTTTCTGTTGATATACATGTGTTAGAATCGGATATTTATTGCTAGACATGATTAAAGAGAACTTGAATTAACGTTTTTGCAGATAATCATCGAAAGCAGAAAACTGGAGATTTTCTGCTCAGTCGACCAATGAGTCGACTCATGAGTCGACTTATGAGTCGACTGATGAGTCGACCAATGAGTCGATTGATGGGAAAAATCTTAGTTTTTTATGTGCTTTGTCTGGTCAACTTATGAGTCGACCGATGGGTCGACTTATGAGTCGACTGATGGGTCGACTTATCAGTCGACTGATGAGTCGACCAATGAGTCGATTGATGAGGAGTTTCCTTCTTTTGTATTTCTTCAGTTTGAATCTATTTGAGTTATTTCAGTTTAACTGAAATTGTTTATGTTTGTTTATTGTTGTTGCGTGCTTAAATATGAACGAGGAATCACCTCGAATGACGGGTATTAGAAATTAATGTATAACCTGTATCTTTACATGTGAGATGACATGCGGACACGAGTTTTAGGTTTGCGCACCGAGACACGTGAGAAATTAGAGTATATGCACCTATTCATATAACTCATCTAGTCCATGTGTTGGGCAATTACGATGTGTAGTCCATGTGTTGGATACTTATTACTTTCAGTCCATGTGTTGGACAGTTTACATATGCAGTCCATGTGTTGGACATCCACGACATCAGTTTAGACCTTGAGAGTTAACACCTATACTTGCATAGGCTGGACACGACATTTATATGAGTTGTGACACGACACCGTAATTTAAGTCTGAGATGAGTTGCCTTCTGTTATTATTGTTCTTGTATTAGATTTTGGGTTTGGTATTTAGGGATGCACAATTTGAGATACAATGTATATATATGAGGGTTTCCTTGTTTGGATTATTTCGCTCGACGTACCTATGCCCGTGTAGTAATTTCTTAAATACTAAATATATATATATATATATATATATATATTAACTGTATTTTCTGTACACAACGAGCCCTTTTCCCTTGGGGTTGGTTGTGATGTTGCTCGCTAGCGCTTTGACGCTCGTTGTCCCTCCCCCTTTCAGGTAATGTGCCAGGAGTCCGGAGAGTCGCAGGTTGATGGCGAGACACTCTAGTTTTAGTTATTCTATCATAGTTGTATTTTACTCTTGAGCTCCACTGTAGGCTTTTGTTTAGATATTTTGAGAGTTTATTCTAGAAGTTCTAAAGGCTGTGTGCATTATTTCCTTTTATCCAGACATTTGTATTTGAGACTTATTGAGAAGTTCCAGTTATTCATTTCAGACATTGACTTATACTTTAGTATGTTAGATGATGAAATATTAATTTGATCTCCATTATTTCATCAGTTGACTCTTGTATTATCTTTTACTTACTTTTGTACCTATACCTGTTATTTGACTCTACTAGAGAGATAGTAATTATGATGGTGAAACATGTTATTGCACGGTGTGGTGCATGACAGGTTTGATATTCTTGGTTTTACCCTGGACTGCAGCCTTGTGTGAACCCAGGGGCGTCATAAGATGCATATATTTTATCTCGGAATTTGAGGAAGTGTGTATTATGATTAAAATGAGAGAATTAACAGAAGATGCGATCAAACTCAGATTTATTCCATTTGCTCTCAAAGACAAAGCAAAAAAATGGCTGTATAGCTTACCCGTAAAATCTATCACTACTTGGAAGGAATTTATCACCGTTTTTCTTAAAAAAAAATTCCTATCCATAAAACGGTGAAGTTAAGAAACAGCATCATGAATTTTAAAATTGTCCCGGGAGAACCTTTTTGAAAGTATTTTGACCGATTTAAAGATCTTCTCATCCAATGTTCTCATCACGGTTTAGAAAAATGGCGATCGTGCCAAATAATTTATGAAGGATTAGATTATTTTGCAAAAACTTTCTTAGAATCAATGTGCCACGGGGATTTCATGAGGAAAAATACTGATGAAGCTTGGGAGTTTTTAGAGAGTCTTTCTAAAAAAGTCATGTAATGGGAACACTGTGATGACTGAGTGTCATCAGTTCCCCAACCCAAATCTAGTGATATTTTCTTAGAGTCGAACATTGCATCTGAAGCTAAGATGGCCACAATCATGCGTATGTTAGAAGCTTTAGAAATCAAGAAAAGAGCCCCGGCTCAAATCAATCAAGTTTCAGCCTCAGGATGTCACAACTGTTTGTGACCATCTCATATTTCAGAAGAATGTCCTCTCTTAGGAAATAATCAGCCATTAGGACAGGTCAACGCTGCTCATATTTCAGAAGAATGTCCTCTCTTAGGAAATAATCAGCCATTAGGACAGGTCAACGCTGCATTCCAACGTTCTACAAATGATCAATTCTCTCCAACCTACAATCCAGGTTGGAGAAGTCATCCCAACTTTGCATGGAATCAAGGAAATTCTCCCAGAACTCAAAACTTCACTCCCGCTTCGACCTAATATTTTCCTAGGGAAAACACGGTCCCTTTTAATTCTCATCCACAATATCAACAAGCCAATCTGCCATATCAAAATCAGTCTCCTCTTCATCAAGCTGTAATTCAGACTCCTCACAATCCAGATCAGGATAAATGTCTCAATGTCTTGGAAAGGGGTTTGGAAACCATAATTAAGGCCTCCACTCAAACCACGAATATGTTGACTCAAACGTCCAGTACTCTGAATTCCTTTATGCAATCAACCGGACAAATGCTCAACTCCAACACTCAAGCTATAGCTAGATTAGAATCTCAGCTTGGTCAACTAGCTAGTGCCGTGAGTGCAAGAGAGAAAGAAAAATTTCCGAGTCAACCCATGGTCAACCCTAAGGACATAGGATGCGGTTCATCCTATGAAGCTCAAGTGAATGCAATCCATTCACTTTGGTCAGGTAGACAGGTCGATAATCAAGTGAGAACTCCTCCAAGTCAAACTTTTGATCCAGTACAAATTCCTTCTCCTTCTCCTTCTAATGAATCTATTCAACAATCACCCCCCTCAGATGATCAAGATCCTGAACCGGAACCTGAGCCTGCTTTTGATAGATTTAGACCGGTTGCTCCCTTTCGAGATAGACTCAGGTCTAGGAAACACTCTCCTCAGGAGGAGAAGATCCTAGAAACATTCAAGCAGGTTAAGGTCAATATTCCTCTCTTAGATGTAATTGAACAAATTCTATCTTATGCTAAATTTTTAAAAGAATTATGCACTAAGAAGAGGAGAATAAATGTTCCAAAGAAAGTCTTTTTAACCGCCAATATCAGTGAAATACTATCAAATCCCATACATTTGAAACGTAAAGACCAAGGTTCCCCCATCATTTCATGTATCATTGGTAATACTCACATTGATAAAGCGCTTTTAGACTTAGGCGCCAGTGTTAATTTGCTTCCATATTCAGTCTACCAGCAATTGGGTCTAGGTGTACTGAACCCAACCAAATGCACCTTATAGTTGGCTGATAGATCTGTTAAGGTCCCTATGGGTAAGTTAGAGGATGTTCTAATTAAGGTTAGAGATTTTATTTTTTCAGTTGATTTTGTAGTCTTAGAAACACAGTCTGTTTCCAATTCCAAAGGACAGACACCTGTCATCTTAGGACGACCTTTCTTAGCCACTTCTAATGCTCTCATCAACTGTAGAACTGGTCAAATGAAGCTGTCCTTTGGAAATTTAACTGCTGATCTCAACATTTTTAATCCAGGGGACCAACCAAATAATCAGCCTCTAGAAATAAATTACATTCAGGAAAGATCAGAAGAAGAAGAAGAAGAAGAGCCTGATTTCAATTTTGAGAAATTTTTTGATGAATAGTTAGAGTTTTTAGAAGAAGCAGATCAGGTCCTTGAGAATAATAAAACTGTGTTAAACATTTGCTGCTTTGAATTAAATTTTGAAGAACTCTTTCTTGATGATCTTAGATTCTTGGAGAATAATCAACAACCAAATTTTCAAAACTCTACAGAAGAATTGGTTGTTAGAAAATAAAACTTCACAGTACAAGAGTCTAAGTTCATTAAAAAAACTCTACAGAAGAATTGGTTGTTAGAAAATAAAACTTCACAGTACAAGAGTCTAAGTTCATTAAAAAATGTAAAATGCATGACACCAATAATACCTACCCTTCACAGTACAAGAGTCTAAGTTCATTAAAAAATGTAAAATGCATGACACCAATAATACCTACCTTACTCTGTTGTAGGGATGTCAAATGAGTGGTTTTGGTTGGGTTTGGTTGGGTCATAAATGGGTGGTCACATTTAAGACCATTTAACCATTTATAACTCATTTAGCATTTGCTAAATGGGTCGGTTCTCATCCACCCATTTACTAAATGGGTGGTTAATGGGTGACCCGATAACCCATTTAGATATAATGCTTTTATATATATGTAAGTTTCAGTGATCTACTTACAAATTTTTAGGGGGTTTTCTGTGAACTTGCAGGGGATTTTTGGTAAATTTTCAGGGGGTTTATGTAAACTTTCAAGGGTTTTCTACAAACTTGCAGGGTTTTTTTGGTAAACTTTCACCAACAGTAAAATCAGTATTAATATTGCTAATAAAATAACCATCGTACCAGGTTTTTTGGTAAACTTTCACCAACAGTAAAATCAGTATTAATATTGCTAATAAAATAACCATCGTACCAGCACAATCACCAACTTTTAAATCGGTATTAATATTGCTAATAAAATAACCATCGTACCAGCACAATCACCAACTTTTAAATCGCTACCAATACCTGGTAGATAATACTTTTCCAGCCTGAAACCTAATTTCACAGGCGCAAGCACATGCAGACAAATTATCAACGGAAAAACATCAACCTCAAAAGCTTCCTCAGTTTAAAAAAAGACGTTCTACATATAACAAAAATCAAAATGTGAAGCGCTAAGATCCCAAGTTTTATACACAGCATTACGACTAGTAAACATTATATAGATCAACATATGCTGAAAGAGATTGGCCTTTTTAGTCCATTGTCTATCAAACAATAACCACTACAAGATAAGTTAAAACTGGATGAGAGTGAAAGAGGCGGTTGATCTTAGACTTTTCTTAAACTACCGATCGTTCTCAAACTCATGTACATGATCCAAAAGTAGTTTGATGTCATCTCTTCGCTCTTGTTGCAGGCAAAGAACGGCGAGTACTGCAAACAGAATATGAAAGATAGTTGGTCAAAAATAGAGAACATAAGCAGTAAGGCAATGCACAAGGAGCACAGAATACATACTAAAACCAATTACTGCAAGTATAAGCATCACTGCTGCTACCACAATCAACACACACCTCCTATATAAGTAGACAAAGTCATTAGTGCAATGACAGAACAAAGCCAAATCAAAAAATAACAAGGTATAGAGCCATACACTGTATCAATAACACTTCTAATCTTTTCTGAACTTTCATTTGTTTTGTCTGATAGGGTATTAGCCGCATTATTCAAATCTATGTTCAGCTTGTCAATTTCATTTTGAACATCAGATGGCACACAACGGAATAGCAAAAGCAAAAGCCAATTAATTTCCCATATACATTCATTTCAAAATGCAAAGATATGGTAATAAGACACACAACGGAATAGCAAAAGAAATTATAGAGATGCCTTATACACTGATCATAATTTCTGCACATCACAAAACTTAGGAATCTCTTTGCAAATAAAAGCGGAAAAGGAGCTGCTCCCTTGTTTGCACTTGACAATTTTGAATGATTTGATTTTTCTCAGTCTTCATAATCCATTGTCATTGACCATAATTGTTCTGATAATACTATGAAAATCAAGTGCACTACCAAAATGGAGAGGTATGCACACACAAAAATTCGCAGAAACCTCATCTCTAGCTCTACAAAGCAGCGGTGAATAGTAGTACAATGCTTAAACATCAATAAAGATTAATACCTTAATAGATGACAAATCTTCTAACAAGCACTTCACCACCCTCCTTCAGATTCAAAATTTTGAATATCACTAAAATCATGCACCAACAGATGTCCTTCTTCAATATCTTCCAAAGCTGTATTTAGATCATAGGATACAACTATGTTAGTCTAATATAACACATGTACACCATAAATTTACAGAAGGTAACAAGAAAAAGTAAGCAACTTACAAGGAACCTCCTCTAACCAAGAACCAAGGCATATTTGAGCTTCGGCATTTTCCGGAAGAAAACGATTGCGGTACTTATCAAGCACACGACCAGCTATACTGAAAGCAGATTCAGAGGCCACTGAAGTAATAGGGATACTGAGTATATCACGAGCCATCATGGATAATTGAGGACGCTTCTCAGATTCTACTTTCCAATATTCAAGAACATTCAATTTCTCATTTTTCTTCCAAGAAAGTATCTTTTCATCTAAATACTCTTCTAATTCAGACTTGGTCCTACTGACTGAAACTACTTGGCTCTCAAACTGTTCAAACTCAAGCATCTCATCATCACGAACATCTCCAAAGGCCTCTTCCGAACTACTACCGGCCATGCATATATCATTTGATGCTTTCTCATATTCTTTGTAAAGAAGCTTTAACTTATCCAAGAGAGTCACCACATGAGTAGAACCAAGACCCACTTTTTGAAAACAAAACTCCACATATTTCACCTTATAACGGGGTCTAAGATGCATGCAAAGGACAAAATCTTGCTATAACACTTTCAATATTTATTAAACTTTTTCTCCATATCACTTGCCATGGATTTTATGTCTTCATCTTCACTTGTCATCTCTTCCTTTATGCATTTTTGTATCTTCCAAACTCCACCAAAATACAAGTTAGAAGTTGGGTATTTACTTCCAGAAAAAAGAGTGCACACTTCGTAAAAAGGTTTCAAGAACTTTGCTATTTTTTCAGCCTTTACCCATTCTTCAGTTGATGGACAAAATATAAAATTTGAATCGATTACCTTCAATTGCTCAAATGCCCGACGAAAAGGTAAAACACTCTCCAACATTAAAAAGGTGGAATTCCACCTATTGGACACATCTTGTTGAATTTTCTTTGCACCAACTGAATAAGTTTGTTCGATACACTTTGCAAATTTTTTCTTCCTTCCAGGAGGACTCTTTACATATTTAATGCATTCTCTAAACTTGGATAAAGATTTATCAATTATTTTTAAACCATCTTGTACAACAAGATTTAAAATGTGAGCACAACATCGTACATGCAAAAATTCACCCTTGGAGACAAAATGCTCCTTTAAAGCAGGATGGTCTTTCAAAATCTTCATAAAAGCATCATTATATGATGCATTATCCAATGTAACAGTGAAAATTCTTTTTTCTATGCCCCACTCCTTCAGTAAATGAAATAGCTTCTCTACTAAAATTGCCCCACTATATGGGGGTGAAACATGAGACAAAGCTAATATTTTGTTTTGCAAGATCCATTGCTCATCAATGTAATGTGCAGTAAGAGACATGTAGTAATCTGATGTTGAAGAGGTCCACAAGTCTGTAGTTAGACTGATTCTGCTAGGAACTAGCTTCAAAGTTTGTTTAAGAATTCTTTTTTCTTTCTGGTACAACTTAAGCAAATCAGCTTTAGTGGTGTTCCTCGAGATATGCTTAACTTCAGGATTTAAAAATGTATGTAATTTGCGTATCCCTCGATGTTCCACATAACAGAATGAATAACCATGCAATGCAATGACCCTAGCCAACATTTCTCTGTAATTATCTTGATCTAATGGCATGGTTTTCCACGATGAATCAACCTCATCTATATCCCATTTTGGGCAAGAATGAATATGCCTCAACATATTTGTGGTACCATAACCACTAACATAAACTTGGTCACATTTCTTGCACTGAACTTTAGCTTTCCCATCACTATCAACAGGCAACTCAGTAAAATACTCCCAAACTTTTGATTTTGCTCTTCTTTTACGTATAGATAAAGTTTCATTACCAGATTCACTACCATCATCGCATGCAGTAAATTCATTCAAAGACATAGTAGCTGAAACAAGAAAAATAACTTTTAAATATCAAAACAAATATCAAAAGTTAATAAAATAGCTTCGTATATAATAAATAACTACAATAAGAAAAGAACACTACGCAACAAAAGTGAAATCAACAATTTAGGAGATTACAATTGAACAATTTAGTAATTGCAACAATATTCGTATGAAATCAACAATTTAGGAGATTACAATTGAACAATTTAGTAATTGCAACAATATTCGTATATTAAAGCGACATTATTCGAAATGTTACTCTATATTTACAATTTAGTAATTGCAACAATATTCGTATATTAAAGCGACATTATTCGAAATGTTACTCTATATTTTTCGAATATGCTAAATAGACTGAAATCAATATGGTATTTATTATCTGGTGCACAAAAGAAACTTATGTAGTCTACAAACAATGTTGGAGAATGTTTCATGTCAATAACTATGGTTTCTTAACAATGATGTGAAATAAAAATAAAAGTAAACAACAAGAACTGCAATTGCAAACAGCGAAGTGGGATTCCAATAACCAGTCAACCTTTCAGGAGAACAAATATGATAAGAATTAACTGCCAAATTAGCCAACAATAACAAAGATCAATGGTGTATCCTGCTGCGTCTGTCAAATGTGCTTCTCTGCTTGCTGATATAAAAGATAAATCTAGGGAATTAAGGGAATAATCACGATGTATCAGCGTTAATATAGTGTCGCTCAATTTCACACCATATGGAGTTATTTATTCACTAGAATATAGAAATTACCGATCAGTATATAGCTGTTATGTATACTTCACATAAGGAACCACTGTACCTCTGAGTCTCTGTGTGTCGATGACGTATCCTAATAGCAAATAGCATTTCAGCAGACACAAGATGCTTACAGAAGCATGGGAAATTAGTAAAAGTAAGGAAACATTATAATAAGTTGACTATAGTATATTCCAGGTGTATCTTAGAACAGCATTCATGTTGGCAATTCTGTGGAGACTAGCATTCAACAAACTCTTGAGAAATTTCCGATAGCAACTTCATGATTTCAACAAAGAAGCATGTAACATATCTATAATCATCGGATGTCTATTGATTGGATGGTCAACTGCAAGGTAAATTTAAACTATTCAGGAATCTGTCTGCCCTAACTTAAATGGTTCACAAATATCTATAAAATAGTCGCATTCACTATAGTTAACATACACAATGACTTGGAACAAGGCATTCCTAATTCACAAACACAAATTGAAATGCAACACAAGCCATTCAACACATTAGTTATAAATTAGAATGCTTACGAAATAAATTTGGCAAGTTATCCCTCCACGGGTTCACAAAGTAATGGCTTTATGTCCTTTATGAATTCTACTCCTTTTTCAAGACCACCTTCTTCAGAAGTATTAATGTGATTTTTCCAAAACATACGCTGAAATAATTTGATTCACAAATTAGAGGAACATAACCCAAATTGGCACAAATTGAGAGCATTTGGATGTGTGAATCCTCTACTTCTCCTTCAAAAGAGTACATGATAATGTTCATCTATAGCTTTCAAGCAATAAAAAAATCAAATACAAAAAACATATCAATCACTGCTACTAATTTATCTGCGGATCATTTCAGCAAACAACTAGCAAGCATAAACTAATTAAAAATCACATGAGTTTTGAAGAAGCACGGGATAATGCTCATCTAAACCAAGTAACGAAATTTGAGAGGAAATTTAACATTAGATCATCGAGGGAGCAAAAACCCTAACAAACCCTAGAATTCCGTAGGAACTGGGACCAGATCTCACCTCTGAACTCGACCAAATGATCAGCCACCACCAAATCCAAAACCGAAGCCCTAGAAGCGGACGCTCCGGCGAAATCTAGACTGTCGAGAGAGATGAGGGGTGAAATCGAGCGCTTGAGAGGTGAAATCGAGCGCTTGAGAGGAGAGAGACCGAGGATCAGGTCCTTGAGAATAATAAAACTGTGTTAAATATTTGCTGCTTTGAATTAAATTTTGAAGAACTCTTTCTTGATGAACTTAGATTCTTGGAGAATAATCAACAACCAAATTTTCAGAACTTCACAGAAGAATTGGTTGTTGGAAAACAAAACTTCACAGTACAAGAGTCTGAGTTCATTAAGAAATACAAAATGCATGACACCAATAATACCTACCTTACTCTGTTGTAAGAATTATTGAACACCCCGAAATGCTTGGAATTTCACATTATTGATTATATCATTCTGAATTTATTTAAAATCCGGGGAAGAATTTTTAACAATAATGCATGATTCAATGTAGAATACGAGCTCTCCATGTTGAACATTTCATTCTACATTATTTGTTTTGTATATTTTAGAATAATAAAAAGAATTTATTTTTCTCTCATTTGAGAGTTTCTTGTTCAATTGTAAAAAAAGGAAAAAAAGAGAAAAAAAAAGAGAAAAAAGAAGAAGAGAATAATAAATTTTTGATTCTATCCTCCTCAGACCAAAGGTAATTACAGATTTTTATCAGCTGATCAAATGTAAGTGCTTCACTTCTTATCTGCTTTACTTTGTGCATCATAGAGTTTGCATTGAGGACAATGCAAAATTTAGGTGTGGGTGTGGGAATTTGTTATTTTTTCTCTTTATTTTACATTTTAGTTGCATTTTTGCCATTTTTTCTTTTTCCTTAAAAAAATATAAAAATATCGTCACTTGCCAAATTGATAGAGTTATGTAATAATTGATTTATTTAATAAATTTTAAATTTTCTAATCTCTAGTTTGTTATTTACTCAAGTTTACCTTTTATGATAACTCTAAATAAATTTCTTAAGAAATAATTTTCAAAGTAGTATACTTCACTTAAGCCTTAACTTAGATTTTTATTTAAAATAATGAAATATATATATGCTTAGCTTAGAGTTAAAAATAATTTTTCAAAGTGACTTGACTTACATATTTTCCAGAATATATATACATATACATTTAAAAAAAATTTACAAAAGAAGAGTGCGAAAAATGGGCACAAAAAAACTCTTAAATTCAAGGTGATTCTATCTTATAAAGCCTAAGTTGACCGAGTAATTAAGCCCAATGAGTATTTCCATACTTAATGACCTAAGCCTAATTGGGTTGGGATCCATTGGACCAAAACTCGTTAAATGGTCGCTTAGAAAGCCCGTTAAAGTAGAAAAAAATCACCAAAGAAGAAAGATTTAAAAATAAAAATAAAAATAAAATAAAATAAAATAAATGTTTTATTTATAGTTATATTTATATATATGATCTTGAAAAATATTTTAGATCAAGCAACTTGAATATTATTTTAAACAAAGAGTTAGCATGTTCTTTTCAAAACTTTTAAATTAAATTTCTAAGTTTGGCTTGGTTTTGTATTGCTATAATGAGAAGATTTTCTAGGAAATTTACCTTAGAGTTATATATAAAAATATTTTCTTGAGTAATAACTAGCTTCAATTATCAAGTAAATTTAGTTATTTACTAACTTCTTTAATTTGGCAAGATGATCGAATTTTGTGGGTATATTCACTGCAAACCCTCACGAGACTACAACTCATTCACTAGGGTAACCTAGGGGTTTAAAGGCTTGTTGTATGCGCTAAATACAACCGTGATTCCTGCAAAAGTGAGTTAGGTTTTCTTTCATTTTTCTTTCTTTGCTAGAGGACTAGCAAAAGTTTAGGTGTGGGGGTATTTGATAATCATATTTTATTATAATTTTATACCCTCATTATCTATTTTATATGAATAAATATACCACTAATAATTATTTTTATCTTTTAATTGCGTGTTAATAAAGAATAAATCTTAAACTCTCATCTCTCAACAAAAGCCCTTGATTTAATGAAGAAATGAAGCCCATGAAGGCAAACAATTTCTTTCAAATACTTTATGAAGTATTAAAAGCCCAAAATGCAAAGAAAATGTCAAAAGGCTCAAGCCCAAAGCCTACAAGAAGAAGGATTTTCGGAAAAGCAACCAGAGTGAACTAGGCATCGATGCCAGCATCGATGCCCGCATCGATGCCAGCATCGATACCCTTATCGATGCTGGTATCGATGCCATCGTCATTCTGTTATGAATTTAAGGCTGAAATTCATGGTTTTTGGATAAGATTTCGATCCAATGGCTCTCATTCACTAATGTTTACTATAAATAGGGGTAGAGAGTAAGGGGTTAGACGTGTGAAATTTTTTATAACTCCTTTTGGAGAAGAGGGCTACTCTTAATTGAGAAGGCCTTCCAAATTTGTAACCTTTTGTTACAATTAATAAAATAATTTTTTTCACCACTTTAAATTTTCTTCTTCTTCTCTTTGTTGGATGATGAAGATGAAGATGAAGATGGAGATTAATTTGAAGGTTTGTTTTTCTTATTTCTCTTTTATTGCTTATTAGTTTAGATTTATTTTCATGTTTGTAATTAAATTTTATTTTCTTGTTTAACTAGCCAAGAGGCTAGAACCCTCTTGCCTTAGATTTATTTCATGCTCATAGATTAGATTTATTTCATGCTTATAGAGTAAATTTATTTTCTTGCATTTAATTCTTACAATTTATTTTATAGTTTAGATTTTGCAATTTATTTTATAGTTAGATTTTAATTTCTTGCACTATTCACCTTGAAGCTAGAACCCTCTTGGGTTTAGTTTTTCTTTTTGTTTATTTTATTTTATTTGATCCGTCTTTAGACTAGAACCCTCTAGGGAATCACCATTTTCTAAGAAGTAGATTCAATTCTAGATTATCCATATTTTTAATTGAATCCGCCATCTTTACTTTCTTAAATTTTATTTTCTTTCTTGATTTTTATTTATTTCTCTATTTTATTCTTTCTTCTTTCTTGCCTTGTTGATCACATTTATTTTTGCTCACATCCACTCTCAAACACATTGATTTACGCACTATCACTTTCACTCTCATTATCTCTCCAAAATCACATTCACTTATCACTCCTATTTGTCACGCACACAACATAAGAACCGATTTTATATTTTCTCCTACAAAACACCTTCCTCGTGGGATCGATATCTTTATACTATAACTTGACATGGTTGTGCATTTGCAATATTTTTGGTACATGTTTATGCCGCATCAATATACTCATGTTTATGTAGGCGAATAAAACTGCTTATAGGTCCCTTAACACAGCTCGGCACGGTGATTCGACAAACCAATGAACCAACGGGTTGGTGAAGCAACGAGTCATCCAACCGTAGAGTCCACCACATCAAACAAGACCGGGAGCGGACTCGAACTCGAACACCAAAGCGGATTTACTGCCAAATCAGGATCCGGATTGCCAAATCAGAGTCCAGATCAACAATGAAGTTCGGATAAACCGCGAGACCGGAAAACGAGCCCCCTGGCCGAGCCACGGATCTGGGCCCAGATCTAGACCCAGATCCAGTTTCAAATGCCTATAAATAGACATGAGAGCTCATTGTTTTGGAGGTTGGACTTTTTTGAGGCGAAACTCTGCTGGATTGAGAGCTCAACTTCGGAATCTTGAAGATTTGAAGACTTGGACTTTTCAGATCTGGTTCTTGGCGATCATCCACGTCAGATAAGGCAGGAGTTCGAGAGAGATCAGATCTGAGATCCACACGGTTATCCTCCAGATCAAAACTTGGTTTTTGATCCCGAGAAGAGTATCGATTTCGCTTGGTCGATTTTGATTACTAAAGGCTATTATTTCCTTGGTGAAATAGTACCCCGGCTGTTATTTCCTTCATGAAATAACACCCGTCATACCGTGTAGATCCGACTGGATCAAGATTGCGTGGTGGTCCACGGATTAACCCCGACGCAGGCGAAGAACCCACACAAGCAAGAGACCACAAAACAGGATCTTGCGATTTGTTCGAGAAAAAGAAAGTTGTAATTTTCTCTTTTTCTTTGATTTTGTTGTAACCGGATCTTATAAAAAGACTGGATCTTTTGTAACCGATAAACTATTGTTGAAGAGAATAATGACTTCAATGAAAGTAATTTTTTCCGCGAACAATCTGGTGATCATAGTGGGAGCCACCGATCTCGCTGCCGAGATCGTTGCGTCGCAGCCGCGGATCTCAATCCCGGTCGAGGAGGAGGTCGAGTATGAATTCGACCAACAAAAGTTCAAGGAGTATCTGTCATCGTCATCCGGATCCACCTCCCCCCACAAGTCCATGAAGTTCTCCTCCAGGAGAAAAGTTTGTTGGTACGAAGAAGTGCAGAATACCAACAAAGATCTCACCCCAATTGATGTCGAAGTTGCATCGGGTGAAGCTCCATCGACCTCCAACCATGTCAAATCTGTTCCTGCCAATTCCTCCGTCGTTGAGGGCATTGTGACTCTCTCAAAGAGAGCCCGCCAGAGGCGACGTCAACGCCTGGCGCGGCAACTCGCAAAGGCAATGGAGTCCACTGACGGAATCCGCTATAACGCGGATCTAAAGAGCAGGAGAGGCAAACAACCTCAACAACCAATGAATGGCAGCTCCTCCATGCCGCCAACAAATGAATGGATCCGTGTCAAACGAAATCGTTCAACACTTGATGAGCGCATTTGCAAGCGCCGCGCACTGTCAGCGCAAGCACGAGCTCAAGTCCAGGAAGCCCGCAGAAGACTGCAGAAGGAAGTGGCCAAAAAGCCGCCACCAACCCGCCAAGTCTGTAGACTGAAGTCTGAAGCAGCGATTCAGGCTAAAGAGCAACCTTTGCAGCCTTCAGCAAAAGTTCAACCTCTGGCGAACCAACCTAAATCACCAATAATTCCCATAGCTACTCCGAGAGATCACGCAGAATCATCCCGAAGAAAGAAGTCAGTGTTGGAGCGCTTCAGTCCACTTCCAGATGGACGATGCAAAGCTCCAGTTCAAGAACATTTGGGCCCGATAAAGAAACCCCGAACGACTCAACATGCTGGGAGTCGCCGCCACCCTCAAGATGACAAAGAGATCAG